GAAATCTTCAATTGGTTTTATTATAATGTTTAGTAAGTCAAAAAGAATCAAAGCACGTTTAATATCAAATATAACAATAAAAATTGCTGCAAATCTTGATGTTGATGAATTGAATTACCGTTTGATCTAGTATATTACTACTTTTTTCTTCAATATAGAATGAAAGAATAACACATTTCTTTATTTTAGGAAACAACCGTTGGAAGTGGCAGAGCTGATGATGAGCAAGATGAAAGTGGATTATTTTGTTGCATCAGCAAGAGGTCAGCCAATTCAACAAACTTGGATACAAAATTCCAAATTAGCAATTGATCATATATTTAGGTGATTCATTTGAATCAGCATTGTGTTTATTACGAGATCAAGTTCGAGCTGTTTGTTTTGATAAATATAAACAATTATTTGTTCAAATATATTCACGTCCACATGCAGTTTTTACAATACTTTCATGATTGCCGGTATTATATCCATATCCATTAAGAAATTCTTTTGTATTCGTTTGTTTGTTTAGTAAATATTTGTAAATTATTAAGGCGTGATGCACATTTACCAAAATTATTTTATCTATATAGTAGTTGTATTAAACTTAGAAAAATTAGTTGGACGTCTTCAAATTGCTTACTGTTTAATAAAAAACGAATAATTTCAATATGAACAATGAATTGAAATATGTAAAGAATATATTGTTGGTTTACAAATGTCAATGACAAAAACGAAGATTTAGTGAAAGATGATGAAAAACGTTGATATGAATTAGTTGCATATTTTACTTATTGACAATTACAATCAATACACAAAATCATGAAATTAAAATCTTCAGTTAATCAAACATTTATATTAAAAAATTATAAAGCTGCAACAAGCTTTGCCATACGTTTATTGGAATTGGAACCAGCATCTGATGTTGCTCAATAGGGTGTGGATGTGGGTGTCAGCGAATCTTCTGTTTCTTCCCTCAACCACACCCACACACCCCATACCCACACCCAAATTTGTCACATATGAGGTTCTTTACTGATATATATGAGTGAACTGCAACATTGCTGTACCATTTCTTTTTCTCATGAACGAGAAACTTTTTGATGCTAGTATGTCTAATGGTGAACTTTTACATATGTTTGTGGAAAAAGAACTTGTTAAAAAAAATAACACTTATAAAAAATTAAAGTCAAATCAGCAATGGTTATGTCTTGTTTTCTGTGATTATGCCCATATGTATATTTAAATAGACCAAGTATTTTTTTTAACGCTCATCTTTTGATCATTTTCTTGTCAAATATCAACAAAATTATTTACAAAGGAAACCAGCAGTTAGAAAAAAAAATTTGATTACAAGAAAACAAACCGCATAAATAACTTTCATAACATGCAACGATGTCTTTCTGTGTTTTCAAAAATAAAATGTCTTTAATGAAACATTGGATCATTTGGATCAGTATATTTATAAGAAAATAAATCATGTTCATATTCAATTAATTGATGAAGAAAACCCATATTTGGACAAACAATAGGTCTTCGATGTCTTAAAAATTTATATGCTTCATATAATGTTGCATTATATGTTTTAATTAGATAGGCAAGAATCAATGTTGATGATCTTGATATACCTAAATTACAATGAATAAGTATACGATTTGATGGATTTTGAAAAGCCATATTCATGAAACGTATTGTTTCATCAAAACGATCTTTTAATAAAACATCTTCGTTATCTTCTAATTCAATATGTAAATATTTAATTTTATCAGCAAATACACATTGATGTTCAACAGATATATTTATGATATGTGTTATTTTCAGATCACGTACAACTTTCCAATTTGTTGCTTGATGCCCAGTTCCTTGACAAAGAGAAAAACAAAAAAAAAAAAATTTTTATTCGAAAAACAAACACATAAGAACTTTTAATAATATCTTACCAAGATAAAGTTGATTATCAAGAACAACAGATGGATATATTGTGAGAAATTTTTCTCGATCAACTGTTGAACGTATATCTGCTTGAGTACAAAAAAATGGAAATAATATACGAAATGCTTCAAAGCCACCAGCTAATGATATACATGACCTTGAGCCTTGGGGTGAAAAACGATTACTAACACGACGCATTTCTGTTGTCGTATTAAAGAAAACACCTTTTTCATCATATAATACTATTTCACTAAATCGTTCGACTACAGATATATAAACGGTACCATTTAATGCATCTTCCCAATGGATGGCTAAACAGAAAAATATTCTACATTATTATTATTATTAATCATTCTGAAAGAATTCCACATACATTATTGTTTCTTTTTTTTGACAAATTACCTTGAAGGTTATAATTGCTTTTAAGAAAAAAAAAATCAGTAAAAGAAAACAAAAATTACGTTAGAGTACTATTTCGTTTTACATTTTGAATTTAAGGGACTAACAAATTTTCTTGTTAGACATCTTTGCTATGCGTATTCTTAATGGGTTTCAGAAGCCACCAATTTACATATTCATTTTTTGGCTTTGTCACTTTTACTTGATTTTAATGAAATGCATACAAACATCGTTTGAAGATGACAAATCGATGTCAGATGCAAATATGCGACCTTGCAATATTTACTATTTGAATTTTGAAAAAAAAACATATCTTAGCATTTTCTCTATAAAATATCTATTGCACAAGTTTTTAGGAGAAAAACAACGCCGTCGATCATCTTTCCCTCTATGAAACTGTATAAAAAATGTAACAAAAAAAAGGAAGAAAATTAACAATTTTAAAAATAAAAATAAAAAACAATGAGCTTAACAACCATGTTTGAATATAAGTACTTTTTACAAAATTGACAATGTTTTATTGTGATGCATTTTTTATGTAGGAAACGAGACATGAAGAAACTATTTTATTGCCTTTTGAAGAAAAATGACGAAAAGTTTTTTCTTATAAAATAAAACTCATGACTCATGACGTAAATACATTCTGCTAGGATACTTGACCGATTTTGTCCAATAGTTTTCAAAAAAGACTTATATACCACATATGGCTTTTCTATTTAAAACAAATTATAATAACTACTGTTTCTTAATATTGTCAAGTAGAAAAGAAAAACGAAATTTTTACCTGTTATAATATGACTTTCATTAAATTTTTCTCTCGATCGACAATCGATGATATATAAATAATGTGCATGCATTAATAAATACTGATTTTGTAATCCATAACCCATCATATTAAATAATTTTGATGGTGTAACATAACCTGGTTGACAAATGGATGCTGGTAATGTACACTTAGGTTTTGGTGGAGTCGATTGATTTTGTTGTTGGTTCTGATGACCCAGAGATTTATCATTGACCGATCCGTTTATTGTTGGTAATTGTTGTTTAAGTCCATTTGATGAAGATGTAGCTGTTTGAATATCAGTATTTGATCGTTTTCTACTTGTAGGTCCATCATTTGTTACTGAACGTCGAAATCCTTGTGTTTGAGACGTATCAAGTGTAGATGTTTTTGAAATATTTTTTGATAGTCCATTTGATTTTTTTGGTAAATCCGATGGTCGTCTTTGAGATATCTTTTCATTAATTGAATTATTCCCATTGGTTTCTTCATCTTGTGTTTGATTCTGAGATGAAAGAGTATAAGTTTTTTGTGGACTACCTGGTAACGATAATGAGCTACGTTGAACCGCTCGAGCTACTCGCATAGTTTTAGTAGTTGATGAATAAAAAAGAAGTGGAAATTGCAATTGACAGATTTCACTTGTCAGATCACTTTACAAAAGAGAAAAAAATAGTGAATGAATGAAGGAGAGTATAAGAAGACAGACAGAGAAAAAGAAAAAAAAAACTAAAGGTGAGAAAAAAAGAAAAAGAGAAATATATATTAAAAAGAATACTTTGTATTCAAGACGGTTACAAAAAAAAATCGCATGCTGAAACTCCCGACAAGAAGAGAGAATAGCGTTTTTCTTCTTTTTTTGCTATATGTCTAAACTGTTAACATTAATTTATCGATTCAAACGAGAACACTTCACATATTCAAACACCTTAAGAAAAAAGAAAAAAAAAAGTTGTATCAATAGATCTGCTCAGATCTTCAATTAGCCACTTATAAAAAATAACCTTCAGTCATAATTTTCTTTTCTTTATTTTGATAAATAGCAAACAAAAAGGTTCAGTTAAACAATGACCTTCAATTGAAGAAGACTATGAAAGACACATATATGAATTCATAACTAAACAAAAAAAAAAAATGAAAACTACGAACTAATACAAATACTGTTAGGCTTATGCATTTGAAAAAAAGAAGAATTTGTTTTTAATATGAGAATTTCATCTGATAATAAAGAAAACATGATCTAATTATTTGTACATTGACAAAAAATCAAACAAGTATTTTTATAAAAAAGTTTATGACACAAAGCATTTTTTATGTACACACCCTTATTTGTTTTACAGGAAATTTTTTGCATAAAATCAAAGAAAAGCATCATTGGTATCGTTTGTTTTTTGTAATCTACTTTTGTCAATTACAAACAAATGAAGAGCTACAAATAATAACAAAAAAATTTTATGTCTTCCAACGACACAAAAATAGTCTTTTTTATAGACACGTCCAAAAAAGATTATGACAAAGAATTAAAACATGTTGACAATGTTGAGTAGTCATATGATGCAAAGCAAAAACAAGATTAACTTCTAGATTTACTTATTCAAATAAAAAGAAAAGTAACGAAAGTCATTTGTTGTCTGTACCTATCTATTACTGTCTTATTTTGTTTCAAAATGTACATGCCATTTCACTTCTATTTATAAATATTTATTTTTATTGTATACTTTCGGTTATAGAAAAGAATACTTGAAATGAAACCTTATATGAGTCTCATTTGATCGTTGGATGTATATGTTAATAGCAATTGTTTGTCTAGAGTTGTTCGTACATTCTTTTTTTGTGAATAGAAGAAAAAAGATCATGAATCATTTATTCATCGAGTTTATTCGTGCAGAAATATTTATTTATTATAATCGTCATTTCATGATTAAAATAATCTTATTTATAATTAACAGCAATTGTTTTATTTTCTTTTGTAATTTTATTCTCGAAAAACCATACACAAAGATGTGTGCACACTGAAGAAAAAAAACATGATACTGAGACCAACACTATCACAATTGCAATAAAAAAAAAAGAAAAAAAAAAAGAGAAAAATACTGGAATTGCTTATTATTCTCTTTAGGTATAATGTGTGTTTATATAGGTGCATGAATGTTTTTATTTTTTGTATGTGTTTTAAAACGGATAGAGGTTTGTGCACGTGCAATGTGCCATCATCAATGTATTGCGTATTTGTTATGAGTAAAAACTCGAAGAGAAATCATTGACTGCGTTGACATTAGCTACCAATGGAATATGCGCAAACGAAGGGGAAATTAAAGAAAAAGAAATGTTTAGAAAGAATGAAAAAGAAAACGAAGGAATTAATATTCAAACTAGGCACTTCTAAACTGTCTTCTTCTTCTTTCATTTTTTTTTAGTCAAAAACTTTTAATTAAGATTATAACGACCAATAGTTTTAAGATTTTCGACAAACATTCCACGTGCCACTTCAGGTCGACGATCTTCACCAGACACCATTCCAGGTACCTATTTTATTAATTAAATTATAAATAGAAATATACAAAAAAAAAGAAAAGAAAACATTCTACTTACAACATTTGAATCAACAAAAATACATCCACTTTCATTAAGTTTTGTTCTTTTAACTTCGATTTCTTTTTCATTAACACCTCGACATGCATCTTCAATTAATACAGTTCGATAATTATTTTCTACAGCATGCATTGCTGTAGAAGCTAAATTATAATTTCAATTATAACAAAAAAAGAAATATTGTCTTTTCTATGTCTTTGATATATATTAATAAAAAAAAAAGAGAAATGAAAACATACCAACACAAACATCAGTAGCCAAACCAACAACATAAACATCAGTTACAGAACGTTCTTTTAATTGATCATCAAGACTTGTTTTACTTAATTTTTTATTATCCCAAAATGCTGAATAAGAATCGATTTCAGGATTTGTTCCTTTATAAACATGTATAGCATTATCAACACGAATCAAATCACGATGCAAATCAGCACCGGGAGTTTTTTGTATACAATGAGCTGGCCAAAGGACTTGTTCAACTCCACCATTTACATCAGAAGATCCAACAAATACCACAGTATCAAGAATATTTGCTTTATCAGCACTAATCTATAATAAAATATGAATATTATGTTTTCTTAAAATTATTTGTTCTTTACATACAGGACTTTCAGATGCTGTTTTTCTTAGATGACGATTTTCATAAAATGATATATGATTTAACGGATGCCAATCATATGTATATGCAACAACATCAAAATTAACATCACGAATAACTCGATTGATTACAGGAACGACTTCTTCGCCTAAGGTTATATTCAAACAAAACAATTTAAAAAGCAACGAACAAAAATTGACAATTATCAATACCTTGATGATTAGCAGGACATGAATGAAGTGCTAATGATCCTGATATAAAATCATTTTGAACGTCAACTATGACTAGAGCACTAACAGGTTTTACAGCCTGAAAAAATAGATGGTATTGCTGATTTGATCCATAAAATGACAGAAATCTATTTACGCATGTTATGGTTTTTTTCCATGCAGTGAAAAATTCGTCAAAATCAATTTTTTGATCCTAAAAAAGAAAAATAACAAAAATAAATAATTAAATCGACTGAATATTATATTTATTTACTTGATTAAAATCAGTTTCACGAAAATATTGTTCAATTAAATCACTTAATATACAATAGGATCTTTTTTTATTTGAAAAAAGTGCATTAAGAAAACGACGAAAATCTTCTCGAGTCCAAGAACCTTGTCTTAAAAGAATATCATCTATTTATTTATATATATATATATATATGTAAATAAGAACCATACTTCTGGGAATCAAAATATCGGAAACATCTTTTAAATTCTTCGTCAGAAAAATTATGTTTTCGTAATGAATCAAAGGGATCATAATCAAGAGGTGGTGGTGACATCGATGCTTCTAAACATCAAAAATCAAAAAAAAAAAGAAAAACAAAGTAGCGTATTAATAAAACAACGAAAAAAGAATTGAAAAACAAAAAGAAAAGAGAAACATAAAATGAATTTGAAATCAACTAACCTTTTCCTCCCATCAATTTCTCGAAAAAAGTACGACCAATAGATTTCAATATCGAATGATGTTTTTGTTCATTGATATTCGAAAAAGATGCAGCAACAGTACTAGAAACTAGAGCGCCACATGGAATAAAAAATCGTCGAGCAAATACAAGAAGAAACGGAGACATCTCGTTCGAAGCTGAAAAATTTTGTATTTCATTTGTATTTCTAACAGGTAGCTATATGTTTATAGTGACTTTTTCTATTCTTTTTTCCTCTTCCAGCATTTTTCTTTCTTTTTTTTTTTCTTACTCTCGTTTTTTGCTTGTATGCTCGGAAAATATTTAGAAATAATATAAGTCAAAAGAAAGTAGGTATTGTGGCAAATATGGTGAAGAAAATGAATGTTAATGGTAGTTTGGAAATTGTTATAAAACTGAACGATGTGAAACAATTAACGGCATAACGATCGATAGGCAGACATAGCAGAAAAATGAGCAAATGTAAGAAAAAAGAAAATGAACGTTACTCTGGTATGCGCATTGCTTCGGTTACTTTTCTTCTTGATGTTATTTGCCCGTTCATTACAGAACAATCCTATCGCATTTTCTTTATTCATTCAGATTTTTCTTTTTTTTTTTTTTTTTTACTATTGACGTCACATTTACTAGCCGACAATGACGACGTGTGTTTAATGAAAGAAGTTGATATACACACATATATTTATATTTACGTTTCTGTATGTGCGAGAGAGATCCGATTAAAAAAAATAAAGAAAAAGAAGTAGAAGAAGAAAATTTAGCTAATCTCGAAGAAAAAAGAAACGAGAAAAATATTTTTTAAGTAGTTCTCTTATTGGGTTTGTTAGTCAGTTTTATCTGTTTATATTAGTTTTTTTTTTTTAATAAAGGATAAGCCATAAAAATAAATAAATCGTCTAAGTACAATAGAATTGTTAACATTAAAGTAAAATCTATGATAAATAATATCGATGATTTTATGACTATAGGTCAGTTTGTTGTCAAAATTACTTTCAGTGATATACTAATACAAAATGAAAGATTGAGTTACAATAAGTCTTTGAAACATTTGAAATTGATATTTTATAGGATTTTAAATGAAAAATAGTGATCTTACTGAATAAATATGTTAAGTATAAAAATTTTTATTATTATGAAACATTGATTTTGATATAATTAAGAAATAAAACTAGATAAATATTATCTAAAATTATAGAAAAAAAAATTCATTTTTATAAAAAGATGATGATACTTTTGCATTCATCATAGACTGTTTGTTTTTCTAGACTCAAACTTAAATGAAGCCATGTTTTTATGAATATCTTGATATCGAGATGTCATATAAGATGACACCAAAGGTAAGATACACTTTCCTTACCATAAGTTATTCCTTATTTTATGAAATGAAAGTCAAATTCAATTTCTCTTGCTCAAATAAACCTCGGCACAGCTGATTAAATAAGAAAAAAAACAACAAAGGACAGTATTAAGTGAT